GCCTTCACTTGCGACGAGAGCACTAAAAGAGTGTCCTGGTCTGACCACTCCGAGAAATATAAACACACAAGATGGACCGTGCTCAGTTAAACTGTCTTTCTCATAGGAGTCAGAGGTTTCTGAGTCAACGATATATAAAAGAGGAAAAATAACTGTGAGTATTTAAGACATCTTAACTGAATCACAAATTAATTGAGTATACTTTATAAATTATATTTTAAAATTACATTTGAAATTACCCCTAAGTGTGTTTAACTTTATCCATGCATGGCAAAGGCTTAATTCCGCTGGTGGTTTATATGTTATTCTCAGCCGGCGATTCTAACAAGCGATTCATCCAAGCCAATTATAACTCATCTTATTACCCTGCGGCAAAATCTTGACAGAAACGGGTAAAAACTGAGGAACGCAATTATCATCATCATTTGGCACTCCCTAAACTAAAGAACAGAAAGAAGACTATTAAATACTTCAAATGACACAAATGACCACAGAGTCAAATGAGTCAACATAATAATATATAATTGTAAGTGCGAAACATTTCTGGACTCACTTCACATGCGACCGGAGCTTAGCCTGTAAACAAACACTCATTGGCGACTGGAGAACAACTTAGCCTGTTATTAGCATTTATATTATCGACCCACGTATTCATATTAGAGCATGTACACATTCCGCCATGCATCTTGCTTTGTCTTAGTTAACAACTACCGATCGCGAGTGCCTGGAACCATCTTCATTTGGCTATAAGATCTGCCTGTATTCATAGAAGGGAGGGCTGCATAGCAGTTTGGCTTATTCCTTTTACTGAAGTAATACGTAAGGATAGATACATCACAACTGCACTACAAAAATGACAGAGCAACATCCCATTTCTGACACTGGATGTGCGTCCACAACAAAAACTCCTGTTATTTTGAGTGCCGCTATTTTCATGACAGAGATGAAGCGCTTGTTTTCACCCGAGCTTCGCGAAGGTCTAACCGTGTGCAAGACAAAGAAAAGCCACAACAATAGTGAGAGGGGGTGTTGCACAGAATCATCAGGAATCGGCGAAAATCAGGCAGACTCTCAACAAACGATGGAAATACGTTAAAATTAACCGCGGCCGTTTGAATCCGACTCCAAAAATCATCAACGTTATTGATATTATAGAACATCTAAACTTTGGAATTTTTTTTCTTCAATTATCTTCTCAATAATTCTTTTGCGGTTTTGCATGAAAAAAGGCTTATCCGCCAAACAAAAGGTTTATTAAAAGGTTTATTTGGGCGTCACGAGTGAGAGGGCTTAAGCGTCACATGTACTGAAGTTTCGCTATCTGAACAGGAAACGAATTAAGTATATTCCATTAGAAGGTGGCTTTTTACCTTGAACCTTTTACTTATTTAATACATCTTGGATGTACGCACTTGTGATGGTCATATTCTTTAACAGGCGGCAACATATTCAAACCCAATTTAGCCTTGTTATAGTGGTAACCATTGACACGATACCCTCAGGCAAAATCTCACCGAGTTGATCGTTAATATGGAGAAATTAGTTAGTTGACCGTACGGATCGGAAGGTGACCTTACCATCGAGGGGTGACCCGGCAGGCGAATCACCCTTCCAGCCAAAATAACGTTTCGTTTCTCATGTAAACAGTTCGCAAAGGTTTGTAGGAAATTTAGGAAACGTTGGCTCACCCAAAGTAGCTCGGGTAGGCGATTGACGCTTCTACTCGTGATGATTCAATCGGTTTATCGGTAGTAAGACCTTTATCCGTACATTTTTTAGGATAATTGGATGTTCCGTGCGGTATAGTTTTGCCACGTTCTCGTGCATCCAGTATACTAAACTAAACCGAGGGTACACAGCGGCTATGTTTTGTAAAAAATGAGTCACTTGTTCATCAATCGTATCTGACCCTGTCAACTTTGTGAAATTTAGCGCACAATTGAATTCGAACGAAAGAGCTTGATTGAGTTGTCAGTTTTATTAACAATCTTCGACCGACGATAAAAAATACTTACAACATTAATCAATTATAGCTTACATGCAAGCAAGTTTATACTAAATTCATGTTTGTTTGTTTGTTTTTTAACGAAAAATAATAGTAACGGAGAACTAGAACAGTCCTGGCTTTTAAACACTCAATTATAATGAACACGTTACGTAATTGCACTCCCTTACCAAACCATACGTATTTTGAAACTGATTTTAAAGTATTTAAAATGTATTTTCAGTATTTGAACACTATTTTCCTGTATTTTATTCCTATTTGACAAAAAAATTTAAATTTTCGCCCCTGTTTGAAATATATCTTAAGTGTAGTTAAATTATATTTCATGAAAAGGAAAACCTCTCTCATCAATTTACAATCTATTTTGTTTAATAAATATGATTAAAATAGGGTATTTAAAATGTATTTTGGGCATAGAACAACTAACACTGTTACAAACAGAGTTCAAATAACGACGATTTACATGGAGACAAAAGAACCCCGAAATACAATGCAGACTTGACTTTTTTCTCGTAAGTCAATGCACATCTTGCAACTCAATCAATACAGACATAGCCCCTGGTTATAAGACAGATCATTCACTGGTCACGTTGCAAATTTCGACACATAACAACATGAGAGGACAGCTGGGCTTCTGGAAACTAAATACCTCATTCCTAAAGGACGAAGAATATATAAAGAAAATACAATCCATTATAACTCAAACTAAAGATGACGCACTGGATAATACTGTCACTCCAAACTTACTGTGGGAAATGATAAAAATGAAATTAGAGAGACATTAATTGAGTTTGGCAGTGGATAAATAAGAGAAAAATGGTTCAAAAACAAGATGATATAGAAAAAACAATTAAAATCCTAGAGGAGCAGACCGCCAACATTGATGCCACCGACTGCCAAAATGTATGGTCAGAGTTAGAAAAGAAAAGACGGGAACTTGAAACCATAATCGAATACCAGACAAAAGGGGCTATGTTAAGATCTAAATCGCGATGGTACAATGAGGGCGAAAAAAACACTAAATACTTTCTAAACTTAGAGAAGAGACACTGCAAACAAGGAACAATTACCCAATTGAAAGTCAATGACAAAGACTTAATCCAAGCCGACAGAGAAATCTTACACGAGTGCGAGGCCTTTTATAAAAATCTCTACAGTTCAAAAGTACAAGTTAACGATTACCCGGAAGTTTTCTTTCCACCTACACGAGAAGTATTGAGTGAAGAAAGAAAACAGCATTGTGAGGGTCTTTTAAGTGTTAAAGAGTGTTTGGAACCATTAAACGGTATGGCCACAGAAAAAAACACCTGGTACTGATGGCTAGCTGCCACGTGAATTTTATAAAGTTTTTTAGAAAGACATAGGTGAAACATTAACAGAGGCCCTAAACTTCTCTTACCAAACAGGAAAAATCGCTGTATCACAAAGGAGAGGAATTGTCAAACTTAATTATACTAAAGAAGGACGCAGATCCCAACCTGATTAAAAATTGGCGCCCATTGACACTATTAAACTGCGGTTATAAGATTGCATCAAAGGCCATTGCAAATGGAATCAAAATGGTTTTACCGGAACTTACATCAGAAGATCAGTCAGGCTTCATTAAAAACAGATGTATCAGTGACAATATACGCACGTTAGATAGCATGTAGAGTACTCATTGTAGTATGAGCTATGTAACCGCTCCTCCAGTAGTTTTACTGAGAGACCATGTGCTTCGCAGTGTGCAAAAAGTTGGATCAAATAAAAGGCAGTTAGTTTTGTTCACGAAGTCTGTGTGGAATTCACAGCAGTTAAGCGTGAGAATATTACATTTGGCGACGAGGATATTATGGCTTCGATCGGTAAAGTGGAGGAATTCCAGGAAAACGACAATTGGATCGAATACGCGGAGCGACTGGAGCATTATTTTACGGCAAATGAAATTACCGATAACGGGAAGAAACGAGCAGTCTTATTAAGCTCGTGTGGAGCCAAAACGTACAAGCTCATCAGGAATTTAGTGGCGCCAGGGAAGCCGACCGACAAATCCTTTGCTGAGCTGATAAACATTGTTAAAAATCATTTAAACCCGCGACCTTCAAGTATGTGTATAGTTTCAAATTCAACTGCCGTTTTAGAAAACAAGGAGAGACAATCCAGCAATACGTCGCTGAATTGCGAAGTCTTTCGGAGCATTGCGACTTTCGTGATCAGTTGGAAGACATGATGAGGGATCGTGATGGTATGTGGAGTGAATGATGAGAGGATACAACGTCGACTGCTGGCGGAGAGCCAATTGGATTTCAAGAAAGCGCTGGAATTAGCTACAGCTATGGAAATAGCAGACAAAAACACGCGCGATATACAGCAAGGAAATTCGGTGGAGAAACCCAAGGAACAGCCAGTAGACCGCTTGAGTAAACAACAGTGCAAACATGCAGCTAGGGAATGTTATCGTTGCAGAGGGAATTAAAAGTTTCATGAAGCTGAAAAATGTAGGTACAAGGATGAGAAATGTTATCGGTGTCATAAGAAAGGTCACAAGGCGATCAAGTGTCGTTCCACTTGCCGTTTCGCTGGGCGAATATTAAATACCTAAAAAAAACAACAAGCGTGGGAACATACATCACATGGAAGCGACAGGTTCGGAAGAAGAGGAAGAAGAAAATGGGGAGGAATATACGATGTTTAGAGTGGTTGCGGAAGGTAAGGAGCCATACCGTGTTGTGATTGACTTGAATGGAATTTCAACGAGCATGGAAGTTGACACTGGTGCAGCCGCTACGATCATTAGCGAAGAAACGTTCAAGGAAATTAATCAGGGACATTCAGCAAAGAAGAAACTTGAAATGAAACCTGCTCATGTGAAACTTCGAACATACTTCGGTGAATTAGTCAAAGTTCTAGGAACTGTAGACGTTGTTGTGAAATACGAAGAACAAGAAAACGAGCTGTCAACACTGGTAGTGGAAGGATCTGGACCGAGTTTGCTTGGAAGAGATTGGCTGAAATAAGTGAAGCTCGACTGGAAGAAATTGTTCAAAATGAATATGGATGAAAAGCAGGTGGCCGGAATCTAGGCTTGAGAAATTGATCAATCAGTATTCAGAGGTTTTTGAAGAAGGCTTAGGACCTTTCAGAGGGCCAAAGGCCAAGATTCATGTGGAAGTGGATGCTGTGCCAAAATTTCGCAAAACACGACCGGTGCCATATGCCATGAAAGGAAAGATCGAGGAAGAGCTTAGTAGACTACAGGAGGAAGGGACAATTGAGTCTGTGCAGTTCTCGGAGTGGGCAGCTCCCATTGTGCCGATTATGAAATCCGACAATTCCATTCGCATTTGTGGTGATTACAAAACAACAGTTATCAAGTTTCGAAGCTGGATAATTATCCTATACCAAAGGTGGAGGACTTGCTGGCAACTCTTGGTGGTGGCGAGAAGTTTACGAAATTAGAAATGAACCAAGCCTACCAAGAGTTACAACTGGATGATGAGTCTAAACGGTACACTACTATCAACACACATAAAGGGCTGTTTCAGTATAATCGCCTTCCATATGGAATTTCGTCTGCCCCGGGTATCTTCCAACGTAACATGGAAAATCCGTTACAAAACATTCCCTATGTGATTGTCCTGGTAGATGACATCTTGGTGTCCGGTGCTAATGATGGAGATCATTTAAACAATCTGGAAGGAGTCTTTAAACGTCTTGTAAAGGCTGGATTGCGACTGAAGAAAGGAAAGTGCGTGTTCATGGAACCGCAAGTAACCTACCTGGCTCACCGCGTAAGCAAAGAAGGTATTCAACCGATGGAGGATAAAGTAGAGGCCATTACCAATGCTCCACCTCCAAGGAATGTATCAGAGCTGAAGTCTTATCTGGGAATGATAAACTATTACCAGAAATTCTTGCCAAATTTGTCAAGTGTGCTAGCTCCGCTACACAGATTGCTCAATAGTAAGACTCACTGGCATTGGGGTAAAGACCAGCAGCAATCCAAGTCATTCCTCAAGTCTTCAAGACTATTAGTCCACTATGACGACAAAAAGGAACTGATCCTGGCATGCGATGCATCTCAAAATGGTTTAGGTGCGGTCCTCTCACACAATATGGAGGATGGTTCAGAACATCCTATCTCCTTTGTATCCCGAACCTTGACAAAGGCAGAGAGGAATTATTCAAATTTACAGCGAGAAGCGCGGGCAGTTATATTTGGCGTGAAAAAATTCCATCAATATCTGTATGGCCGACAGTTCATCCTAGAAACTGACCACAAGCCACTTGAGTCTTTGTTTAATGAGAAGAAGGCCACACCTTCCATGGCCGCTGCTCGAATTCAACGTTGGGCATTGACACTAGCTCCATACAATTACACAATCAAGTACAAACCTGGAATTGAACACGGCAATGCTGATGCAGTCAGTAGACTGCCCTTGCCAGTTAGGCCCCGGACAACGCCTGTGCCAGCTGACACAGTGTGGACGATGGAACTTCTCGATTCTACACCGGTAAGCGTTAAAGAAATTCAAGAAGGAACCAGAACTGATGTTGTACTTTCTCAAGTAGTAAAGTTTGTACAGTATGGCTGGCCAAGCAGAAACAAAGATGAAGCACTCCAGCCGTACTTCGAAAGAAAACAAGAATTAAGCATTCAAGATGGGTGTCTGTTATGGGGAGATCGTGTGGTAGTACCCCCAAAAGCTAGAGAAAGAATGATGGAAGAATTACATGAGACACACCCTGGTATTTGTCGTATGAAGTCTTTGGCTAGAAGTCACGTGTGGTGGCTAAAGATGGACTCTGAGTTAGAAATGAAAGTACGAAGCTGCAACGTCTGTCAAGTAAATAGGAAGTTACCTCCGGAAGCCCCCTTACATCCCTGGGAGTGGCCTCATAAGCCATGGGTTCGCCTACATCTAGACTACGCTTTTCCATTTCTTGGGAAAATGTTCCTCATCGTAGTTGATGTGCACTCCAAGTGGATAGAAGCATTCCCAATGAGCACTTCGACTTCTGAAGCTACCATAGAGAAGTTGAGAATCGCCTTTTCAAATCATGGACTTCCAGAAATGGTTGTTACAGACAATGGCAGTAACTTTGTGAGTAAAGAGTTTGAAGCTTTCCTGAAACAGAATGGAATACGTCACGTCAAAACCGCGCCCTATCATCCCTCATCAAACGGGCTTGCAGAAAGAGCTGTTCAAACTTTCAAAGAGGGAATGAAGAAGTTGAAAGATGGAAGTTTGGAAACCAGAGTATCGCGTTTCTTCAACCGATACCGAATCACTCCTCAGACGTCAACAGGAGTTTCACCTGCTGAATTATTGCTAGGCAGGAAACCAAGGTCAAGATTGGATCTCGCTTACCCAGACATAAGTCGTAAAGTGCGTGACAGTCAGTGGTCACAAAAGCAGAGGCATGATCTCCAAGTGAAGGAGCGTATCATGATGAAAGGAGCCCAAGTCTATGCCAGGAACTTCAGTCAAGGTCCAAAGTGGGTACCTGGAATCCTACGCGAGTCAAATGGTCCTATTGCATTCGAAGTTGAACTGGAAGATGGACGTATGTGGAGGCGGCATCAAGATCACTTGATACAGAGAGCTAGTGATCCTCCGTCACCGACCCAGTCAGAAAACTCGGAAAGTATTCCTTCAGAGTAAGAGAAGACAAGGCCTTCCATTCAGCCTATGGAAGATCATGAAGCGAGTGCAGGAATGAACAGTTCTGCTGCGGCAGAACAGTCTGATGTCCAAATGAACGCTGAGAGGCGTTATCCAGTGAGAAACCGACGTGCTCCTGCATTTTTGAGTGACTTTGTTTCTTAGTGACGTATTCTGTTGAGTTAAGGTTAAGCCAAAGAGATACTTAAGGACTTGATTTGTTTTTCTTGGTTTTAAACCTTAGTGGGGAGTGTAGAGTACTCATTGTAGTATCAGCTATGTAACCGCTCCTCCAGTAGTTTTACTGAGAGACCATGTGCTTCGCAGTGTGCAAAAGTTGGATCTAATAAAAGGCAGTTAGTTTTGTTCACGAAGTCTGTGTGGAATTCACAGTAGTTAAGCGTGAGAATATTACAATAGCGCTATTAAGTATGTAGAAAACAAAGGATTACCCGGTCTACCTCTTTTCCTTGATTTTGAAAAAGCTTTTGACACGTTAGAGTTGTCATTCATAAACCAAACGTTACGGCACTTTAGGTTTTGCCCCTCACTGTTAAACTGGGTTGAACTATTTTACTGCAATACCGAAAGCTGTATTCAATGGATGGACAAGCAAATTCTTTGAATTACATCGACGTGTTAGAGAAGGCTGCCCCCTATCGCCTTATCTCT